CATATGTCGGTTTTAGAAACTCATAATGGTAAGTATAGAAATAATAATTTTATGTTAAATAAATTTATTTAAAAAGAGATAATGGCTTCATTGGTTATTACGATTTTTACCAACTTTGGGTTTTCTGTATCGGTGCTAAGCGTGATATTCTTACTGGGCTAATATAGTTCATCCCCCTATTTAACCATTTTCATATCAGGAAAAAACCAAGATCTAAATCGTGAACATCAAGAAAGAGGTTGCAAATAAAGCTGTCTCCCGCATCCCATTAGAGCTACCCAGTGGAGGTTAATTTCATAGGATCTTTAGTTGTATTTTTATTTATTTATTTATTCTGTTATTAAAAACTTTCTTAAAAGGGCATTCTCATAACCCTATTGGGCATCTCAATTCATTGTGTAAAGAATATAAACCTTAAATTCTTAATTGTTTCCGCTTTTACAATATATATTCATTTTTTTTAAGTTTTGGGCTTTTACAGTTGGTATCAAAGTTGCATTCCTCGAAATCATTCCTTGCACAAAGATTTGAATCATTCAAATATAACCTGACATTCAACATTTTCTCGTGAAATGCAGGTACAAAGACATGAGGAGAGGAAGGCTCTTAGTAAATAGAGCAACCCGGGATGAGTTGCTTCGAGAGGATGTTGATCGACTCTTCGAGATGCTAGAGAGACTTATCTCTGCCCAGCAGGCCTAGGAAGAGATGAAGGAGTTGTCTAACCGTCCACCATTACCACAGTATGAGTCAACTCTACAACAAGAAGATCTAGTGCCACCCCAATATAACCCTACTCCTCCACTGTATCATCTGGCATTACCATAATATAATTCAATGCCCCCACTGTACAACCAGGTGCCATCACACGGCCATCCGACTCCTCCCTAGCATATATCAGTTCTTTTTTAATAGGACCCAGTTTCGCTCGTGATGGACCCAAGCTATATTAAGAGGTACAAGAGACTTAACTCATCTACCTTTGTAGGGGCATCCACTTTCAAAGAGGTCGAGTACTACTTAGCAGAGACAAAGAAGGCCTTCGTAACTCTTGGGGTGATTTTCGAACAGAATGTCATATTTGCTACCTGCATACTTGTGGGTGAGGTAGGCTGTTGGTGGCAGCTGAAGTAGGCCACCATGCCCATTCCGGTCACTTGGAAACAATTCCTTGTAGCTTTCAATGCAGAGTACCTCCTAGAGCATCTTCGATATTTGAAATAGATGGAGTTTGCACACCTAGTCCAGAGTGAGATGACAATGTCAGAGTATGCCCAAAAATTCTTGGAGTTTGGCTGATATTCTCCTGAGAATATAATGGATGAAGGCAAAAAGGTAAGGAAGTTTAAGTGGAGTATCTGTCCTAAGATCAGATAACAACTGTATGTATTTGACCTCAACACTTACTCAGCGGTTCTAGCCAAGGCACAGTTGATAGAGAGGAACCCGCACATCTTTTCTCCAATAATGGGCAATTTTAGGCCCTTAGTTTCACACCGCAGGCCAGCACCTATTACATCGATTCAGCAGAATAAGAGATCTAGCCCTGCGACTCAAGCTCCTCCTCAGGTCCCGATAATAGGATGTGGTAGGATTTGCTAGCATTGTGGCAAGGATCATGAAGATCGACTCTGCTATCGGCTCAATAATACCTCCACATATACGGAAGTGTTCAACACTACGCGAGAGAGTGCCCACGTAATCAAAATTAAGCCAGACCTCTAATCCAGGTCAGAGCCTACATCCATACTCACCAGGATGCTGAAGCCAAACCAGACATGATATAAGGTACGTATACTATCTGTAATCACCTTGAACATTGAAAGGATAGAGTGTTAGTTCATCATAGTGTTTATTGATAACATCTTGATCTATTTAAAAAGTAAAGAGGAACATGTTCAGCACCTGACTCAGGTTTTACAAGTTCTCAGAAAAAATAAGATATATGTAAAACTAAGCAAGTGTGGGTTTTGACTTGAGCAGATTAC